CCTTAGAATTCACAATCAATCTTATTGCAAAGCTGTGATATAGGGAGTGGCAGAGGGAAACACCAGCATGAAATGAGAAGCAGCAGAGTAATTCCAGCCTAACCTGCGGGGTTAATGGCAGGGCATTGTGCTTACATTGCAGATCTTTCATCAGAAGGAACTTTCCTTTCACAAAGGAACAAGGTCAACAATCTGGGATCAGCATAGTTTTTCTGTATACCTGCACAATTGCAGGTGATATTCATAATTACCTAAATTTTACCTGAATCACTGCATTTTTCTTTCCCTTTAAGACCATTAAAAACAAGTGTTTTTAAAGTGTTCCTGGAACCATCTTGATAGTCTGTTATACAGCAGGATTTTGTCTGCAATTGAGAACTGTGTTTTTTTGCAATAACAGTCACATATTGCACCATGAACCATACTAATGCATGAATGCTGTTGTGACTTTGTCTTAAACTTTGTTATCTGTAGCACTGACACATGATTCCAAGATGAGTTGTACGTGTATGTCTACAATAGCCCCATTAAAAGATTACAGCTTTTTCCAGCCAGCACAATAAAGTGTACTCTGAACTTCCTCTCCTTGGTAGGATTGACTTGCAGATTTAGCCTTTGGTTTGGATCTCCTGAAGCCAATCTTAGGATCACCTGGAAGTAAATGTCAGCAGTCGATTTAGCTCAACTCTGCTAAAAAAATAAATGTCAGGATTATCTGCCACTTCTTGCTCTTTTTCTTGCTATAAATTTTGCAGTGATCTGTTATGAAAGCTTACTCTGTGTAACAAGCATGATGGCACACTGTACTGTAAGTTGTAACTTATAACTTCTCTGTGTCATTGGCAATATAAACGTGTTAGCATGAAATAAAAAAAACTTCAAGGCATTTCTTTTTTTTATCTAAATTTGATCCAGCTTCTAGTAGAATTGTTCTGATTATAATGCTTTATCCATGCAAGTGGAAATCTAGAACCTAGAGCACCCATACTTACACAATCATGTATGTTTAAAAACAGAGCACACTTCAACAGGCTCATAAAATTATTCTACAATCTATGGCCCATACAATTTGTCTTTAAACTTAATAATCATCACCACACCTTACATTATGCATGTAAAGTGAACAAGGTGCCATGCAAGCCATGTAGAATTAGAATTTGTGTACATCCTACAGCATGCATGTGTAATGTTTAGGCCACACCAATTTAATTTGTTGGTTCTCGGATTCGCCTCTTCGTTTTCTTCTGATTTGCAAAAAAAAAAATAAAATTTGATTCTGGTCCTGAATCAACTGAAAAATGCTCATGCTTTGCCCCCAACAGTTGAGGAAAGTCCTTTTCTTCCTGGTTGTTACAGTTTTCCCATCCATCATTGCAGTGGTTTGATTAAAAGTTCAAAATTCAATGTTTAAATTTTAAACCTGCCTTTTCTGTTGACTTCATGGCTCATTTTGTAGCATTTAAGCCTATAATAGGATGCCTAGACCTGTTTTTATTTTTATTTTTTTTCGCCCTGTCGCTTCATATTTTTTCTGAAAAAATCCGAGAACCAACAAATTAAATTGGTGTGGCCTTAAATCAATCCAAGAGTGTTCATTATGAAATGGGAAGTAGATGTACTTAGGCCAAAGGGTTACCATAGAAAATAAGCACTGTTATTCAAGAAGCACTTAGAGACACATTTTTTTCAGGAAATGCATGCAGCTGGGTCTTATTCTGAATCAGTAAGGCTTCATAATGCACATTCCAGTTAAAAAAAACATTGTTTGAATCATAAGCAGGTAAATTTGTGTTAAGAACACATGCATGGCATAGTGATTAACATTGAAGTGGAATCAGAAAGGATGTGCCCACAAAATACTGAGTGCCCACAAAATACTGATAGCAGTAGAAACCTGATGTACAAAGAAATGTAGATGGACTGAGTAGGTAACAAAGGCTGGAATAAACATTGTTTGCCTTTGTCTTTGTCAGAAAATCCACGTCATCAACTGCCTTTGCTTATCTGTAGGTTCTCTTCTATTTTAGCATTCAGTAAATTATAGGATGAACTGTTACAGATTACTACCATCATTGCCTGTGTTTATTATGTTTCATCCCATTCCCCATACACTTATTATGATACTTTATATGTGTGTATTGACGTCAATATGTGATACAGTATTAGAATCTGCCAGTTAGTAAATACACTTTTAATGACAGTCAGATTCATTAAGAGCCAATACCCTTGTGAGAAAGTATCCATCTACAGTAGTGCCTGGTCTGTAATTGTTGTCTCAGTTCAAGAAATGTCAGCAAAGTTCCAACTGTAACCTCCAAAGAAAGAATGAGCTCCACTTAAGGAGAAGTTTGCACCTGCTTCCTTCCCCTCGGGGCAGCAGTAACTCAAGACAAGCGTGTAATGCTTCTGAGAAAAGTACCCCCAGGTCTTTAAGAAGCACAGCCAACATCAAGATATCTCGTAGTTGCCGTCATTTGTTACGCCAGCATATCTGCAAAGGTCCGTGCCAAGGCTGCTATCTTGATTCATGTGCATGCAGACTTGTTATGAGTATTCACAAAATGGTGGAAGACAAAAGTGGCGACGTCTTCCAGGGCGCTGCCAATGAGAATCAATGCTATTCTTGGAGAGAGAATGCAGAATGTGCAGGAACAGCCTCCAGGAGAAAATCAATAGCCAGCTAAGCTTATTGCAGGAGAATGCAG